TATTATACTATATTATAATATATTATAATATATTATATATATATTATATATATAATGTTTAGTTTTAACTGCAACACTCACTTCGTGCTTTCTATCGGACAGAAAGGAGTCCACATAGATAAACTCGTATCGTAGTTGAGACCTATCACTCGCAAGGATGGCACATCCATAGGTAGCCAGTCTTTCGGCCAACATCGTGTCTTAGACTCGATGTCGTTTCTCATGCAAGCGTCGTCTCTAAAAAAAAAAAAAAAATATTGCGTGTGTTTAATTCGCAAATAAAAATTTTTCACACGCAAGAATTTTCAAAAACAATCAAAAACAATCTACCCTCTGCAAAAGTAAGGTCCGCAAGCGCACGAGTTCGTGTTCCGGGGACAATCGTCCAGTATAACTTCAAAATCTTGGCCCAGTTTTCTCCATTCGCGCAAATTTAGATCGCGAGCCAAGTCTTTGAAGAATTCCTGAGGACGATCGTCGTCGATCATGGTGGACAAGTAATCGGTCTCGCTCGGCGCGTTATCATCTACAATTTTTTTATCGTTATACAAATGTTATAAAATTGGTGCAAAATATAAAAGAAGATAATCTACAGCAAAAAAAAAAAAAAATAGAAGTGTTGTCACGTGTGTCACGTGCGACATACACGTGTACTGCCACCGTATATACAATGTTTGTACAATATCGACAAACCTACAGCTCCGAGCTGTGCCGAATTATTTACATCGCGTTGTCTCCAGGTGACAAAAATTCCGCCCAACAATCCGTGCAGAAACACCACGTCCATCCTCGTGGTCGAGTGAACTCGGTGCGAGGGATGGAGTAGGTAAACACCTTGCGAGTATCTCGCGCCTTCGTTCCCGTCCGTGTCCAGGTTCGCCAATGCGCTGATCGCCTGGGCCGACAAACGAATATCGTCGTTGCGAGACCAACGTGTCAGTACGCCGATCCATCCTGAGTAAAGAGATAAATTTCCATTGCGTTATTATTGGCGATCAAAAAGCGTGTTTCCGCACGAAGCGCGACAAAATTGTCTGTCTCTCACCGGATTCGTAGATATTCTCCAAATATTCGGAATGAAGAGATATATTGGAGAGTATCCTCGCGAGCAGTATACACATTTCTACGTCGTCGCTGCAAATCTTTTGGACCGCTTGAAGGATCGGCAAAGCTCCGGCGTCGATTAGATCTAATATCATCGAACACATCAAAGATGCAGAGAGCAATACAGTAAGTTAGTAAAATTGTTGCATTAAACTGTAACAGCGGATAAATAATAATATTCACGTGGCGTCTTTACGTTTGCTGTATTGTTCCACGGAGGAATGATGACAGATCGCTTGTACGCAATTCTTAAGTAACTCGTCGTTCCAAACTGTTGCCGGTTCAGTCGAAAGACCCACGCTCGTTAAGTCGTGATCGTACCAACCTAGCAAGTGCTGCGTGTGTGTGTGTGTGTGTATCAAAGTGAGACGGGGTAAATTCATTGCTTTTATATCTTTTTTTTTTTTTCTTTTTACGTTTGCACGTCGCACTTACTCGATGAGAGTCCTTGAACTTCTTGCTGAGAAATTGTGTGAGACAGAGATGCGTGTTGTCGCACAAACTATTCAAGTGCAACAGGAGCGAGTAAACTTTTTCCAATACATCCTGTCAAAATGAAGACAAACTTTTTTTATCGTCAACTTTTTTGTCAAGTTTCAAGAAGGATTTAAAGGATAATTACGTTGTGTGTGTGTGTACACGTACGTGCAAGTTTTGTTGAACGTGACAATAAGGTGGTCGCAGAAAGAACTTCAAGCTGACATCCGGCATTCTCGCAAGTGCCACCGCCGTTTTGGCGTCCAACATCTGCGCCAGATGACGATACTGCCAGTCTGTGAGAGAAAATCACGCATGTAAAAATGTATTATTGTTGAATAGAAGAAAATTTGTGTATCGAACAGATGCTAAGCTCTCACCTTTTAAATACGACAGAGAACTGAGAGCGGTCGCAGCTTTGAACCGTTCATTTTTATCCCCGTAACGCGCCATGTGCAACAACTTGTACGCGATTTTGTGATTCTTCGCGTTCCACCAGTTTTTCAAAATGTCACCGAAATTCTGCGACTTTTTCTCCAGCGCCGAGTCGTCCTCGTTCTTTCCGAATACAAATATGTCTAAAAAAAAAAAAAAAAAACATGACAGAGAAAACAATTCAAACGACATATCTGTCGCTTATATCTCGCAACAACAACGATCGGAAACGCATTGTGTTTATCGCAATATCTGATGACTAAGAATTTACCTTTGAATCGAGGGTCATTGATATAAATATACTGTGCGCGCGCTTGTTCCAAATTTAGAACGTTTGTGTCGACAGCTGATCGAACGGTCCGCGATATCTGTCGCGCTTGATAAAAGAACCAACATCCCCTGAAAAATAAACGGACATTCATCTCCTGTTATTTTGATCCAAATTAAAGTCTGACGTCGAGTTCGAAGTCGTTTTGTTGTTGTCATCTCATCAAAACTCACCCGAGTACGACAAGACAGGTGCCACCTGTTTTCATCAAATAATACACGTGGCTCTTCAAACCCGGTGTTCGCATTGTACCTGGCGCAATATCGAGTCTCGGTAATTAAATTTGTCGGAAAACGAAACAGAAAAATAAAATAACGGAAACAAATTCCGTTGCAGCGGAGGACAATTTACATTTCGAACTTTGAAAGATGTTTCGTGTGGCGAAAATCTCCGTCCGTGCCGCGCGCGAGAAAAACCATAGAACGAGAAGTGACAGTGTGATCGGCGAACGAGCCTTTCAAAAAAAAAAATCACGTTTCGTCCGAAGCGCGGAATTTATATGTTCGGGACGCGAAACTCGAACTCCGATTGGCGGACCAGAGAAACACGCGCTAATCGCAAGCGTCGCTCGGTTTTTCAAACTTCCAACGCTAAAGCCTGTTCTACATTGATCTCAAGCGCAAAAGCAAGAAACAGGTCTGGTAGAATTGACCAATCAGTATTGATCAAATCAGCCAATTGACCAGCGTGATTGGTCAATTCTACGAGATCTGTTCCTTGCGTTTGCGCTTGCGATCAATGTAGAACGGGCTCAAGGCCTGTTCTACAATACAGTCGTAAGCCGTAAGTCGTAAGAAATTGACCAATCACAGACCAATTACAGAAGAATAATCGATTGCGATTGGTCAATTTCTTACGACTTACAGCTTACGACAGTATTGTAGAACAGGCCTTAACACTGTGCTCACTAGTGTGAGTGAGACACACCGATATGCTCTTTCTCACACTAATGGACACAGTGTCGCCTGTGTGCGTAATTGGAAAGCACCCAATATGAGGCGACAAAAATATCGCGCGAAAAGTTCGAATTCGATTATTTATTTGTTCGCGCGTCAGGATGATATTAAAAAGACGTAAATTGTTTTTTAAATAAATTTTCAAGCGACAGATAGAAAATAACGTCATACTTTTTCCAAAATTGTGTATACATAGATAAATTTCAATTTTTTATTTGAAATCGCTTTTTTATTTATTTAACAAGCAAAACAAATTATTTAAAAAAAAATAAAAACTTTATTCCAGTTATAAAACGGCATTACGTGTGTATAATTTAATAACGCGGGATTTACTTGCCTCTCGCCCGTCACAACGCGTGTTACCCTATTTGTTCTCTTGTCTCCGGGTGACACCCTGTAGAGAAAGTGCGTGGGCTTCACGTCTGAGTGTGAGTCACAGCTGACACAAGGTGTTCTCTTCAAGAACATATTTGTAACAATACCAATTAATAATACTCGGTTTGCGATAAGACAACGTCGAGGACGAGGATCTCTTCCCCCCCGGACAGTGGTTGACACCCAACGATGATGATCCGTCATCGGTTTTAGGAACCGGCAAATCGCAAACGGCAACGACAATGGCGACTGTCAAAGTGACGGAGCAGAAGGTTATCCTGTGCGGCGAGTACGGCGTCGGGAAAACGTCGATATTCCGACGTTTCGCCAACAACACGTTCGTCGCGAGCAACGACCGTAAGTCGACCCTGGGTCTCGACAACATCGACAAGGAGTACGTCGTCGAGGACAGACGGATACGGGTAATTTATGTTTTATTGTTAATCGACGACGACGACGACGAGAGTCGATGATGTCGCGTCCGTCTCTCGTCAATTAACTCTTTTTTTTTTTCTTTCCACCAATTTCGCGATTGTCACGTCTTCCCGTTTGTTCCCTTCAGCTGCAACTATGGGACACCGGAGGCATGGAGAGAGTGGCGTCCGTCACGTCGAGTTATTACAAGTTCGCGGAGGCCGCCATCCTGGTTTTCGCCCTGGATAACTCGACGTCGTTTCACTTGCTGTCCCAACATCTGCTCGACATAGTCACTTACGCGGAAAACGCCAAGATATTTCTCTGCGGCAACAAGAGCGACCTGGAGAGCGTCGCGCCGCAAGTCACGGACGCGGAGATGGAACAGTTCTGGTAATTTTGCCATTTTTTTTTTGTGTCATTTAAATTTTTTGGTTCAATCGCGTCGTGTAACAAATTGCTTGAAAGAGAGATTTGATTTTTGCACCGTAGCGAACAGTGTCACAATCTGATATCGGGCATATACAAAACGTCGTGCAAAACCGGCGAGGGAGTGAACGAGATGTTCGAGGACATAGCTCAGCATCTGGTCGAGGCCAATCGATCGCGAATGGAGCTTCACGAGATGGACAAGGATCGGTTCAAGATCTCGTACATCGACGAGGCGACGGATCCCTCGTGCTTGTGTTAACTTAGCGAATTGTAAGAAAAAAAAAAAAGAATGTTCGCACAACACAAATCGGAACACTCGTCGACTCTCCTATGAGGGAGAATCGCCCGAGGAGAATTAATCCACACGAGAGAGTGATATATATATATATATATAATAATATACGTATATATATATACGTAATTAACGTGCATACATTTTTATACAACAAATAGCGGCGCTGTGTGTGAATCAGGAAGGTCAGGTCCAAGAAACTAAAACTAAAAAAAAAAAAAAAGAACGAACTAAAAAACGAACTAAACTTCTCGAATAAAAATTTTATTACCTGCGCGAGAAGTTTGTAATCTCTTTAAAATCTCTCAATGTGTGATTTTTTACGATCTTCTATATATCATTTATACATTTTAATCAATTATACATAATTTTATCTACTATATACTTATGTAAGAGGTTTGTAAAGGCTACTACGCGCGCGAGGCACTAGTGTTGAGCCCATTTGATAGTCTTCAGGTCGACCCCATCTTGCACCATTTCCCACAGTGGGCTGTGAAAACAAAAATACAAGAGAACGAAGATTAGATTAATTAACATTATATCGCGAAACGTCGTCACGGAAACGCGTGTTGAACACAGAAATATTAAAAATAATAATAATAATAATAATAAAACACGATCACGATCTCACGAAACGTCCAACGACTAATGCCGTTCCCTCCGTGAAACGAAGAGATTCCACGACGAGATACGTTTCGAATAATTTAAGGCCAAAGTAATAACGCGTATACATGTGTGTGTGTGTGTGTGTGTGTGTGTAAGTCTGAACTACTAAGGTATCATCTCTTTTTTTTGTTGTTGTCAGGTCTCCTCTCACTTAATACTTGAAATAAACAAATTTGTATTAATATATAGTTTTTAACGAATATATATAAATGTGCGTTAAAATACCTCATATCCCGAAGTCGCTTAACTTCCCGTATCGTATTCTCCGCGGTGTAATCGACCTCTTCCAACGTGGTGAATCGTCCGATGCCGAATCTGGAAATCCCGTATCCCGGATTAGTTATCGCCAATCATCAAATTTGGTTTTTTTTTTTTTGATTAAAATTTCCGCGGGAATTTAAAATTTTTAATTTTGTTGTTTTTCACAACCTGATACTGGAATGAGCCAGATCTTCGGAAACGTTGATCGCTCTGAGCACGTAGCTCGGTTCAAGACTCGCGCTTGTGCATGCGGAACCGCTGCTAAGCGCGATGCTCTTCAGCGCCATCAGCAACGACTCGCCCTCCACGCAAGCAAAGGACAAATTCACGCAGCCGGGATACCAGGCCACGGGATCGCCGTTTCTCACGACTTGCGACAAATTCGACATTATCTTCTCGATCAGACGATTCGACAGTGTGGTGATATATCGGTGATCGTACTGGACAGGCAACAAATGCAATGATTTAGAATCGTGAGTACATCCATGTGTGACGTTATGTTTTGTTTTTTTTACTTACATCCATCTCGATTTGTGCTAGCTCACAGGCGGCGCCCAATCCCACGGCCAACGGCGCGGGCACGGTACCGCTTCTCATTCCTCTCTCTTGTCCACCACCGCTCTGCAACGGCTCCACGCGCACCCTTGGTCTTCTTCTGACGTACAAAGCTCCGATACCTTTTAATGAAAAAATTAAATTCAATTGAAATTGGATACGCGAAGAATTTATAAAAAAGAGTGAGAGACAGAGCAACAAACTGACCCTTTGGACCGTACAGTTTGTGACCGCTGATAGACATTAGATCGATATTCATGGAATTAACGTCGATCGGCACTTTGCCTATAGCCTGCGCGGCGTCCGTGTGAAAAAAGACTTTTTTCTTCCTGTCCGGTTTAAAAAGTAAGATTACAAAAGTATACATATATATATACACAGACTGAGATCATTTATATATATATATATTTTTTTTGATATATAATTTACCTACAAATGGCGCCAATTTCTGCAATAGGTTGCTTGACACCGATCTCGTTATTCACCATCATTATGGACACCAGCGATGTGGATGGTCTAATAGCCGCTTCTAACTCGCTGAGATCAATAATACCGTTTGGCTTAACAGGGAGATATGTTACTTCAAATCCTTCCGCTTCCAAGGCTCTACACGAATCCAAAACACACTTGTGTTCCTGAACAAATAAACGATTGTTTTAAAGTCTGCTGTCTTTTCATTAAAAAAACAAAAAAAAACAATTTTTACAAAATAAAAAAACTTCTTACAGTCTGGGTGGTAACAACATGATTTTTCTTGGACTTGTAGAACCTGGCCACACCTTTTACAGCTATATTGTTACATTCTGTTGCGCCAGAGGTGAATATTACTTCCTTCTTATCTGCTCCTATTAGATTTGCAATTTGCTATCAGAAAAAAAAACAGAAACAATCTCAGGCATATTAAATATAAATCTCTTTAATAAATTTTATAAAGTATATATATATATATAAGATACAAATACAAATCTTATGACACCAACCTGGCGAGCTTGCTCAACTGCTTCTTCTGTTTCCCAACCATACATGTGAGTTCTGGAATGTGGATTGCCATGATATACCGTCAAGTAAGGCATCATCTTGTCCAACACTCGAGGATCCTTTAACGATGTAATATCTCAGTTTTTCATGTTAATTCAATAAATTGCATCATACAAATGTACCATTTTAAACTCACCATTGGGGTAGTAGCTTGAGCATCCAAATAAAGAGCTCTACCTTCCATTGGACCTTTTTTATATTCATCTGTGATGGGAGCTGTAACAAACACATAAATATCGCAATTACCACGTGCTTAAATACCGTTGTCACATATTAAAAAAAAACATAATTAGTCTCAACAGTAATAATAATTACACTCATATTCGGTAACCTCTGCCAAATGTTGAACGCACGTTCGCAAGCAACGACAATTTTTTGTGTTGTGCAGCGCGGATATGAAACACCTTGTCATACGAAACATTTTAACTGTTTTTAATTGTTGCTCTCATTCAAGACAAATCACGCATTCCACCAGCCATTTGACACTTCCTAACATATCCTTTTTTTCGATCTCCCTGTTTCTTAATTATTTATTGTGTTGTTACTAGCGCTACTGAAAATTTATAGGTTCACGTGACATATCTTATAGATTTTTCAGTACTGCCAAAAGTACGTTCCAAAATCCTATCTTAGATACTAAAATGCTATATTTTACGTCACGTGTACTATAGTTTATAGTTACCAGGGGTGAGATTTCGGAACGTAATCCAGTACTAACGGAACAAAGCCTATATGTTCACTTAAGCCTGTTCTACAATACAGTCGTAAGCTGTAAGTCGTAAGACATCGACCAATCCCAATCGATTATTCTTCTGTAAAGAAACGTCTACAATGGAAAGTTGTTGGCCGTAATAGTAAGAAATTGACCAATCACAGACAAAGTACAGAAAAATAATCGATTGTGATTTGTCAATTTCTTACTATTACGGCCTACAACTGTCCATTGTAGACGGCTCTTTACAACTTACAGCTTACAACAGTATTGTATAACAGGCCTTAATACCGCCAAGCCGCTAGGCAACACTACATAACAGTTACCACGGCATTGGTTACGTTCACAAAACTCAACGGTTGAAAGATCATCACTTATGATAGGACTATTCTTCAAAATCAAAATCGGATCCAGAAGTATGATCCAATCAGAAGTGATTATCTCTCAACCGTTGTGCAACTGTTAAGATATCTGAACGCACCCATTTACATTTTATGGATAAGTTCCACTTGCCGTTCGCAACGCTAACGCTCAGTCCATGAACTCGCATGTTCCACCTTCGAAACAGGTCCTTATATAAATATAGATATAAAGAAAATACATACATATATCTGTGATAAAAACACAGATTAATTCAAAAATTTCCAATCTAATTTTATTTTTCAACTTAATAAAAGCAATTCCACGTGTTACACTCTGTTCAATAAAAAAGTATCATCAAATTAATGTATATAAATGTTGCGTTATACAAATGTTATAAAATCTGACACAAATTTTGAAAAAGTGAAAGATATAAAACAGCCTAGTTTTCCTTGAAACCATCATAAAAAAACACGTCCGAAAGAATGTAAACGTAAAAACCACCTTTCAAAAAAGTAGGATAAGATAAAATCTTAAAAAAAAATTATTTCGAAATAAGATGGGGTAACTATTTAGAAAAGGTCACCTTCTTAAGATTTTAATGATAACATATGTTGTCAAGGACACCTTTCTGAGTAACAATCAAAAGGTTTTAGCCGTCGCTTGTTGTTTCAAAAAAAGTTATACCCACTTGAAGTCTCAAAACTAAATTTTTATTTCTCGACATCGTGTACATTTTTTTCATGTTGGAAGCGTGTAAGCAAGAGGTGGCTACGCCTCCCCGCAGAATGAAGAGGCTCCGCCCCTCGACCTGCTCATCCCGCAAAAAAATATACATAAAAAATGACTTCCGAGTACATGCGACACTTAATCAGAAGTCGTTTTCTATATTTTCTCAAAAGGGTAGCAAGAGGGAGAAGCGGAACCACTCCCTGCAGAAAGGTGTAGCCCCCCATGCTTACACGCTTCCAACATGAAAAAAATGTACACGATGTCGAAAAATGAAAATTTAGTTTTGAAACTACAATTGTTTATAAATTTTTTTAACCAACAAACGACGGCTAAAATTTACGGATTGTTACTCAGGAAAATGTCCTTGACAACATATGTTAAGCTCATTAAAATCGGAGGAGGGTAATCTTTTCTAAATATTTACCTAACAGACTTTCAAGCCATCTATTGAAATTCTTATGTCATTATCACTTAGATAACTAAATATTTGTTCAATACACTCACGTGGTAGCTTAAAAAAGTTACAGAAAAAATAGAAACTTTTAGTGCCTTCTTCGAGCAACTCTTTTCTTTCCATACCTTTTCTGAACTGATTTTTTATCATGCTAGAGTATATTGGAAATTTTATTTTATACTCGTCTGATCTTAAAACCTGCACTACATGTTCATTTCTCATGTATATTGCTACTCGATTTGTATCTTTTATCAAGATATTGTAAAATGATATAGTAGTATTACTAATTTTCTCATTCTTCATGATTGCTACTTCTGTTTCACATTCATCCTGTAAATCTCTTATTTCATAATTGCTGCACATTGATAATAATTGTTCACTTACGAATAAATTTGCAGCTTTTATCTTAACTATATGCTGTGTAAGAAACTCAGCAATTTCTTCATAATAGATGCGACGAGAAAAGTCAGAATAATCGTTATATGATATAGCATTAATATCCGCACCTCTGTCTAACAACATCGCAACAAATTCTACATTTTCTTTTTCAACAGCAAGACACAGTGGTGTAACACCTGATGCAAAAAAAAACATGTATGTCAAATTAACATAAAACTCCATGTTTTAAAAACTGTTTATAAATCTGTAATTATCTTTCCTCAGCTACAATTTAAAGTTATACCTGACTTATCACTGGCATTAACGTTAGCTCCATGATTTAAAAGTACTTCAGCAATCTCCGTTTTCCCATTTTTAATAGCTTCGTGAAGCGGAGTTGCGCTATCCCGAGTTTCACCATTAACGTTAGCACCTCTGTCCAACAGCATCTTAACACCATCTACATGTCCACTTTTAATAGCACCATATAGTGGTGTACCACCTGGAGTAAAGGAAGAGATATATATATATATATGTAAAATTAAACTCCTTGTTGTAAAAAATGTTCAACAATCTGTCAATATCCTTCCTCAGCTGCAATACAAAGAGAATTTATACCGTCATCGTTACTGGCGTTAACGTTAGCTCCGTGATTTAAAAGTAATTCTGCAATCTTCTTTTTGTTATATAGACTTGCATTGTAAAGCAGAGTTCTGCCATTCCGAGTTTTAGCATTAACGTTAGCACCTCTATCAAGAAACTTCTTAACAAATTGTTTATGTCCTCTTATAACAGCAAGACACAGTGATGTAACACCTGGTGTAAAGAAATAGATATATGTAGAATTAATATTACCCCCATGTTTTAAGAGATGTTCATCAATTTATAAATATCCTCTTTCAGCTGCACTATAAAGAAGAGTAATACCTTTATCGTTACTAGCGGTAACGTTAGCTCCATAATTTAAAAGTAATTCAGCAATCTCCATTAACTTAAAGTCAACCGCAACGTGAAGCGGAGTTGTGCCATCCCGATTTTTAGCATTAACGTTGGCACCTCTGACCAAAAGCATTTTAACAGCATCTACGTATTCTGTGTTAACAGCGAGAGACAGTGGTGTATCACCTGAAGCAAAAGAAATATATGTAGAATTACCTCTCCAATTAAATTCCATGTTTTAAAAAATGTTCATCAATCTGTAAATATCTTTTCTCAGCTGTAATATAGAGTTATACCTGAATAGTCAGTGGCATTCTCGTCAACTCCGTGATTTAAAAATAAATCAGCAATTTCTAGTTTCTTATGTCGAATCGCATAATGGAGCGGACTTATGCCATACCGAGTTTTAACAGCACAGTTAAGGCCTCTGTCCATAAGCATCTTAACGCCATCTACATGTCCACTTTCAATAGCAACAAATAGTGGTGTAACACCTGGAATAAGGGAAGATATATATATATATATATATATATGTAAAACTTTTTAAACTCCTTGTTGTAAAAAATGTTCAACAATCTGTCAATATCCTTTCTCAGCTGCAATATAAAGAGAAGTTATACCGTTCTAGTTACCTTTGTTAACATTAGCTCCATGATTTAAAAGTAATTCAGCAATCTCCATTTTCTCATATTTTATCGCATCGTGAAGCGGAGTTGTGCCATGCAGAGTTTTAGCATTAACATTAGCACCACTGTCAAGAAACATCTTAACAAATTGTTTATGTCCTTTTGTAACAGCAAGATGTAGTGGTG